GGATGTAGCGGTTCTTCAGCTTCTCCGCCGCCGCCGCTGACAGCCGAGGGCCACATTTCCTGCAAGGGGGGACAGGAGCTGGAGGCAGTGCCACCGGCGAGGGTCCCCTGGGCAGGGGGATCCCTGGGCACCCCTCACTTCCTTGGACCATGCTGCAGCACTGTTGCGAGCTGTTCTCGCTTTCCTTTGTTCAAGGCAGGAATTAAAAAAGGTCACCCAGAGAGAGCACTTGCAAATATCAGCTGCGTGGTTTGCTTCTCACCACTGCCTCCCACCGTGCAGCCTGGGTGCTGCTGAAAAGTCGTGCCTCTCACTCACGTCCGACAGAAGGAGATGAGCTTCTTCAGCTTGTTCAGCTCGATCTCACCCTCCACAGCCTGGGTCTGTGTCAAGGCACTCACGTGTAAGGACATCACGTGCTTGGCCAGCGTCTAGGAGAACAGAAGGCAGTCAGGCAGCAGGAACCCCCCTGCCTCCCCTTCCCGAAAAATGGGGCACCATGAGTCCCAGCTGTACCCACATGCCTTGACCCACCATGTCTCGCTCCTCGTTGTGCTCATCCTTGACAATGAAGATCATATCAAATCGGGACAGGATGGTGGGCATAAAATCAATGTTCTCCTCGCCCTTGGTCTCATCCCAGCGCCCGAAGACAGAGTTGGCAGCTGCCAGCACTGAGCAGCGGGAGTTGAGCGTGGTTGTGATTCCTGCCTGAGGGGGGAAGGAAAAATGAATGGGGTCAAGATGACATCCATGTCACAGCAGGGCTAGGTGGCTATTCTCATAGTGAAAGATCCAAAGTAGTTTGCAAGGACTTGTCCTCAATCGCTTGCAGGTTTGCAGGTAGTAGGGCAAGAGCAACCAGCAAGAAAGAGTCATGGTGGGCATTCTGTTACCAGGGACTGAACAGCTAAGGGGTGAGCCAGAGAGACCAGAGCAGAAGTGCTACAAAAAGAGCTGAGCAGTGGAAATGAAGAAAAACTCTGATTTGAGAGAAGACATGGCACCAGGATGTCAGGCAGTTTCTGTAGATTTTCTGAGGGTGTGGAGAGCAGTGGGAAGGAAGAAAAAAGAAGTGCCATCAGGCTGTGACACAGGGATATCAGCAGAACTACTAAATCTAGAAGAGCAGAGGACAGGCAGAGCAGATGGAGCTCGTTTCAGTCCTCCTGAAGTTCACGCTGCCTGAGTGAAGACAGCCCAAAGCCTACAGGCAGGGCTGACCGGTCTCAGATCAGAGAAACCAGTAACCATCAAAACCACTGCCTGGACAAGCCACTGTAAAATGGGCAATTCTGGCAGAGGATGTGCGACTCCTGGTTGCTGGGCTCTCAGGGAAACCCAGCAGCAAGTCAGGCTCCCACCCTGGGGCGACGTGCACCCACAGCTCACCTTAGCAATGGAGATGGTCTGCTGCTCCATGGCCTCGTGGATGGCCACACGGTCATCCTCCCGCATCTTCTCATCCGAGGTGGGAGAAATAAGGTGGAGTCAGGGGGAAGGGGAAAGTCACCATCAGTCACCTCTGCTGGACCTCAGCTACACACCCGCTGATGCTGACCCCTCCCAGGTAAAGCTCTGCAAGGACCTCTGCTCAAGAGTGCAGGACATAACCAGAACTTCCCTGCAGCCCCATTCCCTGACCTTCCCCAAAAGAAAGCAAGGCAGCCTCAGGAGAGTTGTCCTTTCTCCTGCAGCTCTGGGCTCTCCCGGGAGCAGCTGCCAGCCCAAGGGCTCTCTTCCCCACTCCCGCACAGGCAGCCCCACAGGTACCTTGTCAAACTCATCGATGCACACCACTCCCCCGTCTGCCAGGACCATGGCTCCTCCCTCCATGAAGAAACTTCTGGAGGAAGGGTCGCGGATCACGGAGGCCGTCAAGCCGGCAGCACTGCTGCCTTTCCCCGAGGTGTACACCTAGCAGAGTGCGGGACAAGGAATGGACAGCACATCAGCCGCTGTGGGACCCAGGAGTCCATCGCTCCAGCTGGAGGATGAAGCACCCCTGGCACTGCAAAATCCAGAGCTGCTGGAGGAAATGCAAAGGCCTGCAGGAAAACCCCTCAGCACATGCCAAAAGCAGACCTACTGGGTACAGAGCAAGGCTATTGCCTAGTCCTAGGCCTCGGACTAAGCAGCTGTGATGCACCGGAGGGCTTGCAGACACACAAATACAGGTATTAAGTACAGAACAGGGAGTGATTCATTGTTTGGTGGGCTGCTGCATTAGCTTTGTTTTCCCCCCGAGGAAACAACGCAGTCAGAGGCTGAGTTTAATGGAGACTACAAGAAAACACAGCTGAAAATATAATTTCATGCCTGGGCTCAGCCTGGAGGTCCGTGCCTGAGATGCAGTCAACTTCATTTGTCCTGACCAGCCAGCCTCGCTGCTGATCAAATCTCAGCGATAAACAGCAGCACCAGTCACATCTTTGGATGTCTACAAATAGCCCGTCTCATATCATAATGAAAGGCATTACTTGCTTCCCCTTCCCTCCCTCATCCGCTGTCCTGCAAACCATCTCTTCCAGGCTAGCACCAGAAATGGCAGTTTGCACCTCTGCCAGCCAGTCTAGCTGTGGATGCAGGTATCTGCTGTGACCACGGTCTGGTCTTCAGTGCTATGCAGGGAGCAGAAGGAAGAAACAAGCCGCACTGCAAGCAAGCTCCTCAAACCACCTACCCCAATAGGCGAACACTTCTCAACGAACTTCAGCAGCTGGGATTTGGCCGTGCCAGGGTCACCCAGCATCAGTAAGTTGATGTCTCCTCTGCGGGTCAGTCCATCTGGGAGCCTGGAGCGACAGCGTGGGAAGAGAGAGGGAGGAGATGGTGAGCCTTCATTTTGATAACCAAGCATTGCTGACAAGTGACAGGTGGTTGGTAACACCACCAGAAGACTGTATGAGGACTTTGTGCCATGAATGACACCCCTGCCACCACTCTCTCTCCACCAGTCTGACTTTTCCCCACCTCTTGCGAGAGCCTCCAAATAAGAGGCAGGCAATGGCCTTCTTGATGTCAGTGCTGCCATAGATGGAGGGCGCAATGCTCTTGGCGATCGTCTCGTAGATGTTGGGCATGGCAGCAAGGCGACGAAGTTCCTCCTCTTCTTGAGGGGTCACTGAGCCAGCAAAGCTGTGTCCTGTACAGGGATGAGAAGAATGAAGCAACAGTGAACACATGGATGTTTTAAAGTAAATGACACTACTCCCCCCACACCCGCTACCACCAAAATCCCTTCTTGAAAATCACACCATGTGCCACCAGGTGAGCAGGATGGAGAGGGTAGGCATTTGCTATCCCAGAAAGGCAGGCTGTGTCCTTAGAGGCTGGTAGGAAAAAGCAAGGATCTTGGGCAAAGCAGCTCTGGAGGAACCAGAGGGAGAATTACAGTCAGAACCATGTTTATAAATATAGCTCAATTTTAACCATCAACTTCAGCCCAGATCCTCAGGGATGGCTTAGCAGATTCCTGCTAAGATCAATTAAGATGAAAGAACTTAAATACCCTGGAGAACTGAAGCTGAAGCCTCCTCATTTAATATCACTGAGAAAAAGTCATACAGGACACCCGAGTATAGAGCACCCAGGGCAAGTTAGACCCCTGGACTGGCTTGAACCTTCTGCTATATAAGCAGCAGAGAAGGACCCAGGCTGTGATTTCATACAGTCCTTGCTGAGGGACCGCCTTGCTCAGGGAGGGGTCTCTCCCAATACCAGGCTACCAACACAGACCAGACAGGCACCAAAAGCAGCCCTCACCTGAGCCCTCCACATCCACCTGGATGCCCACCACACGGATGTAAGCGCTTCGGATGCCCACGCCCACGTTGTCACGGCTTCTGTTCTTGCTCTGGGCAGTCTTCTTGATGGAGTAGATGCCCATGATAGTGACTCTGTTCCCTGGGACAACTTTGTCACACAGGTACCTAAGAGGAGGAAGGGGAAAGCAGAGGACAGTAGCAGGGGGAAGGATGGCACCAGCAACACCCGCTAGCCCGGTGGGGTGATGGGGGGAGGCCGTGCTGGTACCTGTCGCAGTACAGCTGCAAGTGGCGGGGCATCTCCCCATGCGGCACAGCGTCCGGGGACTCCTGCAGCTTCAGGACCTGGAAGTCCACGCACTTGCATTTATCTGGCATGATGAAATAGGGGTCCAGCGGGCACTTTGGGCGGCCGGCTTGCTCTCTGTGCAGAGAGATCAATCAGGGAAGGCTCCTGGCACTCAGGAGCCACCCCTGGGAGTCCCCCTGTAGAGGGGACAGCGGTGACAGGGCCAGAGCAGCCGCCCCTCCGAGCAGTGCCCAGCAGGCAAGAAGGGCAGTCACACAGGGCCAAACCAAAGGCTCATCAAGCCCTCAGTCTTGTCTTCAACAGCTGCCAAAAGCAGGCGTGAGAACAAGCCGAAGACAGGCTGATAGTTGCCTGAATACTCTCCCTACCTCCGCCTTCTCCCCCGCTAGCTAAAAGCAGGGAGGAAGGCAATTCATTAATTACACAGAAGGTAACAGTACAGGCTCAGCGACATGGCAGGGCATTTTTCTTTATAACCTCACGAATGAAGCAAATGTTAAGTGGTTTCTGGTGAGAAAGCAATTAGTGATGTGACAAGGCTGTCAACCTCCCAGTCTCTCGAGATGCATCTGCCTTGCTTGACTACAAGCTCTCTGAGACAAGAAGCGCCTCCATGTCCTGCTGCCGTCTCAGTACATCACTACCAATGCCTGACTCCATGCAGGCAGGGACAGGGCTTTCAGGGAGGGTAACAGGAAACCGCAGATGCACTCGTGCAGTCAAGGATCAGAAGCGAGGTGCTGTACAGACCACACGCAAGAACGATCCCTATCCCAAAGGCCTCTCAAGCTGCATTAGAGATAAGGCACAGAAAAGAAATACTGGCAGGCATGAGCTCAAAGACACAACCCACCACGATCGGCTGGCGCGAGAGCTGCCACAGTGGTAGCCTAATGCTCACAGTTCGCATGGGCGTCAAGAGCTGTAAAGCAGGATTTGAAGGTTAGTAGCTAAGCATCCCTTGCAGAAGGTAACACAAAACAGACCCCTGGGGAGGTGGAACGTGGAAGCAAGAAGTTTGTTTGAAAAAGATAAGAACTTAATAGGAAGTTAGGACAGCAGCTTAATGCAGCATTATGGGACAGGTGGAGGCAGGAATGAACCTTTAGGTACCACAGGCAAAACACCCTACAGATAAAAAGAACTCCCTGGACACAGCCGCTCAACACTGCTTGCAGCACTGGTCATGCAGCATCACGACCAGTGTGACTGCAGATAGATGGAGCTAAAACCTGCCAGCCACATGTGCACACAGGCACAAGGGCAACATGAAAGGAAGAGGCAGAGAGCAGCACAGATGATTCTGCCTTGTGTGACAAGGACCCGACTCTCTGCAGCGCATATGGGATGGAAGGGGGGTGGGCGGAGGGGACGCAGCATTTTTTTCCCCACCAGCCTGCTGCATGCACCCCCATGTCAGTCCTTACGTGTTGCATTTCCTGGGGAGAGCATAACCCTCCAAGCCTGGGCGCACCGCTATGTTGCTGATGGTGTTGCGGCAGCTGCGGCACTGGATGGCTATTCTGGTGGCTTTGGCTCTCACAGGGGTTGCTGCAATTACGATCCCAGGGATCTTCACAAGGTGAGACATCTGGTCAGACTGAAAGGGAAAAGGTGAAGGGAAGGTGAGAAAGCCGTCTCTGGAGGATGGATGGGAAACTAAAGACATTAGAGGAACACAGTTCGTTCTTAGCTACTCTTCCCACATTCATGGGACTAAGGTACCAGAACAAAAAAGCCTGTGCTTCTTGACCACATCACTCTCTTCTCTAGAGCAGGAGGGGAAGGTTGCATGACTTTAAGCCATGCTGATTTCAAAACAAAAGAGAAAAGGACAAAATGCTCCATGCAGAACATCACTAATAGCAACAACATCCCCACAGCAGCAATCAGTAATAAATCTGACTGCAAAGGACTGTTAAGTTGCAGAGTATCCGTACTTGTAAATTAGTGTACAACCCATGTCCTGAACTACGTGATCAAGTACCAAAAGCTTCCCTGCAATCGCACCCCCATGCAAGCAAGCCCTGCCACTCACTGCTCAACATAAAAACAGATTCACCTCACCTTCAGGCTGCGGATGTTGGCTGCGTTGGCATCTGATCTCAGCATGACCTGGATGTCTTGGAGAGTTTCCTCCCCTGAAGGACGAGGACGGGTGACCTCATCTGCGACTTCTTTTGCTGCTTCTTCCAACTATAAAGGGAACGACTAGGCTATTACAGGTATATTGCAGTTTCATCAGGGCTGCTCTCATAACACGACAATGTCTGTGAGCCAGGTTGCCAACCTCCTCCATCCTTACCAGCTGCAGGTGTTCCGCTGGTTGCTTATACAGATAGTCAGCGAGATCTTCATCAAAGCTGGCCAAGTCTTCCATCTCCACCTCCACCCAGTACTGACTCAGGTTATAGTGCCGTTTAAGCTCATCCCTGCAAAGCAGTAAGCGGTAAAGGTTTGCAGGGCAGATAACACCAGTCACCCACACTGAAGTTATGACAAGCAGGGAGCAGAGAAGGCAGGCTCTGCAGGGAGTCGTTGGTTTGGAAAGCAAATGGGGAAAATCAGGAGAATGCCAAGAAGGGGACCTGGGAAAATCTTTTACCCAAAACCACTTTGAAATGTGACATAAGACCAGGGACACCAGTGCTTGCAGTGACAATGTAAAGTATAGTGCTATACTTGACTAGAGTTACACAACCAGACAGGCAATTAGAAAACTTCTACACAGGATAATACCTATTATACCTAAACTATGATTAGAAAAAAGAAAGTAATAACATAGCAGGCAATGTTCTCCTTAAAAAAGGCAGGGTGCGTGAAATTCAGAGATTAAAGGTGAAAGATTTTCCCAGTCCTTGCATGATACATGTCCATGTTCTCTCACAGTTGTGTCTCCAAGCTGCACAGGCAAAGGGACAGCCAAAGGACCTTCATAGCCTCAGAAGGCACACAAGGACAGTGCTGTACTGATTTTAATGGATACAGACAAAACTCCAGACCAGAAAGCACTAGAACTTGAAGACAGACCTTGAATTTCAGAACTAGGTGCAAGTTTGGCAGTGCAGATCCCTCTATTGCTACCTCTGCCGCTGTCTGGCTGCCTAAAAATTTGGGAGGACACCAGAGCTCAGTTTTCCTGTAAGGTTAAACAGGAACAACATTTCTTATACTAAGAGCTCTTTACAGTCCATGGGAGGAAAAAAGCTGGCATGTGCTATTGTATACCTGGGGTGTGCATAGCAGGAGGGAGGTTAACAGCAGATCGGATGCGCAAAGAGGAGTGGGTAAGGCACAGAAGGAGAAGAGGGGTCACAGCAGCACCTGTATTTGAAGGTGAAGCCCGTCCGGTCCGTGCCCACCCGGTACTGCCGCAGAAACTCCTTGAACCGCTTCTGCAGCTGCGACTTCCGAACTCGTCCACCGACGCATCGCCCCCAAAACTGTCGCTGTAGTAAATGCCGGGGTCGTCGAAGCCGGACATGGCGACTGCTGCTGCTCCCCTGCGGGGGCGAGAGCGGACGGTCAGCCCCAAACACCTCCTCCTCCCCGGCACCAAATGCCCCAGGGGATGCTGCCCCCCCCCGGCCGCACTGCCCCCCTCCTCTTCCTC